CAAAATTTAGGGGTACTTTTTTGGGGGGTCCTTACAAGGAGGATTATAGTATTTTGTGGTCCATATTGGGGTCCTGTCCTATTTGGGAGTCTACTATGTCAAAATGTGTACATGTACGCATAAAGACGCATAGAGGCGCACAGACAGACAGATGGATAGATAGATAGATAGATAGATCGATAGATACATAGATATATATTGGTTTGAATGACATTTTGGGTCTAGGATCTAGGATGATCTAGGGCTTAAGGGCTCAGGTCTTGGATTGGAGATTTAGGGTTTATTTTTCCCCTCGTGCTACACCACTGCCTACCCACCAAAAAAATTGGTCTTCCCAAACCTTCTGGCTAATCATGGTGTTTCATGCTAGGGGAAGAGATTGCTGCGGACCCTCATGCGAGCTGTCAGAACCCATATTCGTAAGAATAATGATGATGAGTACTTCTTATAGGAAGAGCCATTGCCAGAAGTATCAGCACTCGTGACACTCCTATCAGGACTGTCAGGCGGCCAGACTTCCCCACCCAATTGAAGTCAGTTTGCGAATCTCCCTGTAGCTGATAGCTGAGGATGGGTGCGAGCTACTGTCTACATGGTGGCGATGCTATACATTTTCCTTGGCGTGAACATTGAACTTCCGGCTCGCTTGGGGAGGAAGCTTATATTTGGGTTATACTGGAATACTGGACAAGAAAATGGAAACCACTATAGTATACGAGGGTATACATAGGGTTATATAGGGGTTGTATTTTTCAGAAGTCCTCGCGAAGTGTGACTGCTGTTCGTGAACATGCCCGGGAGTGCAAGGCAGCAGACAAGTTCGTAAGTGCCATTGAGGGCATTACGAGCGTCAAGAGGAGAGTTCTTCAGAGGCTGGCAGAGGGGTGCTGCATCAGGGTGGATTTGGGGGGCTGCATCACGGAATGGTGAGCGGACTGACGCCAGTGTGCTTCTGTCAAATGTTTGCCTGAAGATTGTTTCGCAGCTTGTGATAGTGTGAAGGTCCACTGGGCGTGTTATCACAGTTAGCGCCGCTCGACTGCAGGGAGGGGCTCTTTATCACCCCTAGAAGACCTAAACCCTAAACCTTGAATCCTAAACTCAAAACCTTAAGTCCTATACCCAAAAACCTTAAATCCTAAACCCTAAACCCTTAAATCCCAAACCCTATGCACAAGACAGCCAGGCAGACGAGGGTTGAAAGCCAGACAAGGGCTTAAAGACCTCTGAGGTGTGGAACGGGACAGTGGCAAACTTGACCTTATTAGCACTGGGCTCTTCCGCGTTGGGACCTGAGTTCTGCAACAGTTGGATAGTAACAATAGTAGCAAAAGGTAATGGTTATACCAATATGAAAAATAATGATAGTGGCAATAGCCGTAGTAGTGGCAATAGCAGTAGTAGTAGCAATAGCAATAGTAATGGCGCTAGAAGAAGTAATAGTAACAGTGCTAGCATAGCAATAGTTGTTGAGCAATAGTCATAGAGTAATAGTACTAGAATAGTGTGAGCAAAAGTAATAGTAATATTAGTAGTTGCTTCCACTGTCTGTTCAGGCATGTGTGACTCAGAATGATCAGAATGTGTGAGTTATCGCAATCATCCCGCAATCTCCTTCTACTCTCAAGTTATACCCTAAACCCTAAACCCTAAACCCTCATGTCGACAAGGCCAGAGATCCTCTTATCCGTGGTGGAGATCATTGGGCCTCCCTGGCATGGGGCTAGTCTGCCTGGGGGATTGTCAAAATTATGGTCCCAATTTTTGAGTCCCCTAAATCAGGCCCCGTATTAGGCCCCGTATTATACTAGGGACCCAAAAAGGGACCATAATTTTGACAATCCCCACCTGGTGCTTTAGTAGGGAACGAGCAAATGGATCCCTAGAGTTTAGGGTTCAGGGTTCAGGGTTTAGGGCTTAGAAGCCCTACACCGTAATCCCCTAGAATCATTTCTAAAGCACATTTCTCCTTCCCTACTGAGCACCAGGGAGTGCCTCAGTTCCGCTTACAGCCACGAGGAAGTGTGAAGTCACGTTGCAGTTTGTAATGATTGGCGTGGTTCTGTCAGGAGCGGCTTCAACCCAATACCTAAACCCAATGAACCCCAAATCCCAAACCCTGCAAACCAACCCCATACCCTATGAACCCTAAACCGTATGAACCCTGAACCCCAAACCATATGAACCCTGAACCCTAAACCCTAAATCCTAAATCCTAAACCCTAAATAGTAGTTTCCATTTTATTTTCCATTATCCCTATATAACCCCTATACAACCCTAATATAGCCCCTATATCAACCCTAATGTCACCCCCTTAACCTGTCAGGAATGGCTTCTTCGCGGGGGAGCTAGGACCGTCCACGATCGTTGGCCGGTGTCTCGGAGCTGAGCTTGCCAGACGGCTGCCCCCAGGGTGTAGGGTTTAAGGTTACCCTGAACCCTAAACCCTAAACCCTTGAACTCGGATAGTGGAGAAATGACCCCATTTTTTTAAAAAAAACCTTGAACAAAACCGTTATGGTCTAGGGGTCAGGGATTTGGGTTTGGGGGGGAGGCTTCCTTTGGACTCTCTATAAGACCGATGATGGTACATTGAGGTGTATACTCGTGCCCCAATCTATAGCCCTAAACCCTAAACTATACCCTAAACCTGACTGAGTCACAGAGCTCGCGCTACCTGGGATGGACTGTGCCCATCAGGCATCTCTCAGGAACGCTAACCTTTGGAGAAAAGGTCCGATAAAAAACGCTAAACCCTAAACCCTAAACCATAAAAAAAAAAAAAAAAAAACCTAAGGGGGTCCCGCACCTATCTGTAATCAGCCTTAGGCTCCGCAGCCTTCAACTTGTTCTGCATCGTGGTTCCGACCTCAGCAATGTCTCATGTCGGGTTAGGGTTAAAGGTTTAGGGNNGTTTAGGGTCTAGGGTCTAAGAGTCTAGGGTTTAGGGTTTTGGGTTCAAGGTTCAAGGTTAAGGGTTAAAG